CCACCTGACACAGGGTAGGGATGCCATGATGGCTAGGAGCCCTGCCTTGGCACTTGATCAAGGAATCCTATGCCACTGCTGTTTGCTCGAGCAGGTTTACAGGGCAGACATACAAATGTGCAAACATAAAAGAGCAAAACAGGAAGTGGAGAGGATTACCACTCAGGTGAAGATTTAAGTCTCAAAGTGGTATACGTATGCCAATTGTTTTTTGGGAGCTATATAATTAAGGGACTTTTCTGTGAGCTTTCAGAGAAATGGCTGCATGAATGCGCACTCTCTTTATTGCCTTTTGGAATGGCATCTTTTGTCCAGAACCTATTTTGGAACATTAAAAAAAAAAAAGCATCAAATGCTTAAAGCTCAGAGACATTTGAAAAGGACAGAGGAGATGATTCCTCAGACAGGCATAATCTCACTAGCAATTAATGCACGCAAAATAATCCATAACTACAAGGCTTGAAGTAGAGGGGAAATCAGAAATAACGTGGAAATACTTCTAGAAATTGTAGCCAACTACGACCAGGTACAGAAAATAATTTGTCAGAAAACTTAAGTTAGTGGAACAGCTATTGACCATATTAGAGGGTGTGTGATTTTTTTTTTCCTTTTTTACTGTGGTCCTTGACCAATCACATTTTAGCCTATTTTAAAATTTTCAGAAAATTTGACCGGAGACTACAGCAGTGTACAACATGTAATCCTGTGCCCGTCAGATGAATTGGACTATACTTCCCAGATAGGAGTTCAACCTTAAGGCTCACTGACCTATCCCATTTTCCCAGATGGAAAAACACCTCCCTAAATGTTGGTGGAGGATACTTTTATTTAGATTTTGATTTAAGTTTTTTTTTAATCTCACCTTTATTATTTTATATATAACTTAAGGCAGCAAACATACCCAATACTCCCTTCCTTCTCCTATAGGTAGTCCTTGACTTACAACAGTTTGCTTACTGACTGTTCAGTTAGAACGGCATTGAAAAAAGTGATGACTGTTTTTCACACTTACGACCTTCGCAGCATCCCCATCCCTCATGTGATCAAAATTCAGATGCTTGGCAACTGCCTCGTATTTATGACGGTTGCAGTGTCCCGGGGGCGGGGGGGTCATGTCTGCGACCTTCTGACAAGCAAAGTCAATGGGGGAACCAGATTCACTTAATAACTGTGCTACTAACTTATCAACTGTAGTGATTCACTTAACAACTGAGGCAAGAAAAGTCGTAAAATGGGGCAAAATTCACTTAACAAATGCCTCGCTTAACAACAGAAGTGTTGGACTCAACTGTGATCGTGAATCGAGGACTACCTGTATTTGGTCCATAACAACCACTCCATAAGGTGAGTTGGGCTGAGAGAGAGTGACTGGCCCAAAGTCACCCCGTTGGCTTCATGCCTAAAATGGGATTTGAAGTCTCCTCTTTTCTATGCGCCTTCGCCTTCTTCTCAACCCTCCCCCAGCCCACCCCAAAGGCAGTTTTTTGCTCCTAACTCTGTGCTCTCCTTCCAAACTTAATTCTTCCACTTCTGCCAGCGCAAGTCGTGCCAAGCGGTCAGCGTGCTGTGAATTGTCAGGACTTTTCTTACTGTCAAACAGCCACTTGCCTGCTCACAGATGGCAGGCAAAGCAGGGAGAGAAGGAGGGGACGCAGGTGTTTTTGGGGTGCCAATTCTCTCCTGGCATGAGAAAGATTCACTTATCTTCACACAAGAGAGAAGAGCAGGAAGTGAGTTGCCTACTATCAGTAACTGTAAGAAGAGATTGGAAAGCCATTTGTCCGGAATAGTCTAGGGTCTCCTCCTTGGGCAGGGGGGTTGGACTAGAAGACCTCCAAGGTCCCTTCCAACTCTGTTATTCTGTATTCAGTTCTACGAACTTTGTGGGATCAGGAAACCACAGCAAAGAAACTGTTCTCCCTCACAACTTTTCACTTACTCCCATTGACCTGCTTTCTGGTGCCCAAAAAGCACGATCCCACCATGGAAAGTCTGCTTGACCACTGAGATACCCCTAACATAGTCACTTCCTCTGATGCCTGCCTTGTTGCATAACTTAGATGCCACAGTCCCAAAAGTGTGTGTGTGGGGGGGGTTGTTTTAACCAAATGTCCAGTGGCCTTTTGGAAGTTTGTTCGACATCACTTCAATCTCCCAGTGCTCTACCATGACACTGGCTTGTAGCTTCAACACCGCAGAACAGCCAAGCTCTCCAGAGGTAGCCCATAGACGCTCTGTACTACGATTCAGCAGCTCCTCTCTGCTACTTTGGTACTACAGTGATGAATGGGAAGGGTGGGGCACATTTTAAATATGTGCAGCGATACCTTTGAAGGCAAAAGGGAAAGCAGAGCTGTTCTCCCAAGCGCTGGGAATAGCTGCTCTGTCACCTGCCTTCCTGCGAGACAGGGATGATAGGAGAAGTTAAACTCCACTAAGAACTCCCACTCGTGACATTTTATGGAAGACAGAAAGAGGGACAGGCCTCTCTTCTCCAACATGGCTTTTCTCAGGATGAGTGAAAGGAGAAGTATGGATAGAGATGGTGAAAGTGGGGGAACGTTGCAGGAAATAATGGTGTTATTTGGCGTCAATCCCAGCCATGGGGTCAGAGAACAGACACCAAGAGACACTACAGACAGATCTTGTACAACCAGTAACTGGCGTTAAAGGACATTGAGGTAGTCCCCGTTTAGCAAGTGCAATGGGGACCGGCAACTTGGTTGTCAAGTGAAACATCACAGTGTTCAAGTGAAACATCACATCGCCATTTTACTTCAGCTTTTTTTTTTAATTTTACAGACCTATGAAGGGCCTAAGTGTGAGGAAGGTCCTAAAGTTAATTCTTCATCACCATCATAACTGCAAATGGTCACTAAGCAAGGCAGCTGTTAAACGAGTACTAGTTACATTCCACACCTCACACCTCGTATCTTTCATGTGGACACAACCCCCTATTTCCCCTTCATTGCCAAGGCAGAATTGGGTCCAAATGTGGTCAGCACTTCTTACAACCAGCATATTTTTGTGCTGGCTCCCATCCTAGGTAATGGCACTTTAGGGCCGCTATGCTAAACAGCGCTTGGAATGCTGTTCTGGAATCGCAGAATCCCCTCTTTCAGCTTTTAAAGATTTGCTGGCAAATCCATCCGGGTGGGATGATTTTTGGACTTGTGTGAAAGTGGGGTTAAAATGTAAAGGAAGTGAAGCTCAAGGGAACCAAAGCTGGGATCGTCTTCCTAATAAGCTAAGAATGGATTTCCTTTTATATTTAATTTTGCATGAATATGCACAGCTTTCCAAGGTTTGGAGCGGACGGGGATTCTCCTACTTCCCCCACCCCACCCCCAGGTGAAATCTGCATAAAGGAAAAGGGTGGAGAGGAATGGGAAAAGGCAAGCAAGTTCTCTAGCGAGTCCTGGAAGGTTTCCATGAGCCATATGGTGGAGCCATGTTGCAACCCAAAGCCAACACTAACTGCTTTTTTTCCCCCTGTAACCTTCACTACATTTGCTAATGTTTTGTGACATAAAACCTAGAGATTAATTTTTTTCTTCTGTCTTAATTGAAGGAACCATTTAGTACAGATTTAACTATTATTACCAAATCATCAGGATTGATGCAGCGCACACACGCGTGCTCCAATCATGTTTGGACTAGCTTGGAGGATTTATGCAAATGGGCCTGCCGGGAGAGGCAATTTGTAGCAGAGAAGGACAATTATACAGGGCCCGTGAGTGCGGGAATGACTGTGCCGGGCGGCTAATGGATAATCATAAAGCGCCAGCAGCAATGAACACCACTGCAGCGTGACCAATGACTTTATACAGCACAGATAAAGAGGCTTTTATGCAACACTGCCTTCCTTTTCAAAGAGGGGCAATTCTTCCCCCAGAGCAGTGCAGGAGGCAAGATAGACCAGGAGGCAGGGGGAACACAGAGGAGCAGGCATCTCTTTAGCCCTCTTATTCCTCCAGATCTCGGATGACCGCTATGATGGGTAAGGCCTTGGCTGTGCTGAGTGCTAAAGTGCAATCGCCTCTAGGGTGAAGGCAACAGGAATAGCCCAAAAAACAACAACAAGCAACACTTTGATCACAACATATTCACTGAACATCACCACCACTTTCTCTCATGCCTCTTCCCAGTGTGGTCTGCAATTATTACGCTACAAACAGAGAGATCTGGGAGGAAGAGTCCGCTTTTTATAGTGTACAAATACAAGAAAGCAATATAAAGAAACACTGACACTATACAGCTGTTTGTTGAAGTCAAAAATAGGCTGAGAAGAAAGAAAGAAAGAAAGAAAGAAAGAAAGAAAGAAAGAAAGAAAG